CTGGAAAGTGTATTTTATATGCATGGAAAGACAGCAATGATAGGACAACATGGCAGGATGGAATAAAAGTGAAAGAAAGCAAAACAAAAACCTGATGATAAAATAAAGGTGAGAATGATTAAAATAATAGAGAAAAGTGGTATAATGGGTAGATTGATGGACTTTACATCTGACAAGATATATCAGTTGTACTGATGGCTACATGCTAATTTAAACCCAAAAAGGCAGTTTGCCTAATGCCAATGGCCAAAAGCTGAGCATGAGTAGGAGGCACTCATGTCCTTCTTGTGGGTTTTGTATGGGCAGCAATTAAACTCTGTGCAAACAGAACACTGGACTAAATGTGTTCTGATCCAATATGGTGATTCTTGTGTCCTTATGAGGAGTGAAATGGCACAATACAGTAATCAGCAAGTGAATTCTATAAAAAGCTGGGCACACATCCCAAAATAAAACACCAAAGCACCATGCTATCCATCAATCTAGTTCACATTAAAAATAAAAGAAAAAGAAAAAAAACCTAACATAACTTTTCTGAAATATCTGCTCATAGGAATTCTAATAACCTGCTCATAGACATCGCATGGAAACAAGAAGTTTCTTACATAGGCTCTTTAATAAATGATTCACTGGGATGTTCATTGAAGTTTATAACATTAAAAAAGGAGAAGAACATAGAAGAGATACCACCAATTATGAGGTCTCCTTGCTGATAGTATTCATGTGGAATCTGAAGAGGATCACTCATGCCGCATATAACAGAGTGTGACTTGCACTCAATGTGGGGCAGAAATATCCACCACAACGTCAGTAGCCATAGCAAGAAAAGCAGCATTCTAATACAGAAGTGACTCCTTTTCTATTAAAGCCAAATCTACAGTTCCAAACTATTATCTAATGTCCATTCAAAATGATGTTTCCTGACTTTTCTATTCAATGCTGATAGCATCTGCCAGCAGTTGTGCCTGTCCACAATCTGTCTCCCTGAGCTCTGAAAGGCACATATGTATGAATGTATGCATATGCATATGTATGTATATCTTCCCATTCTGATTGTTTACTGTGAGAGCAGTCACTGGAAATCTATGTAGCTTTTGGCAAGAAAAAACATTGGTGTAATTTTAGACAATTTCAGGTTTACGTTATCTCCCTAAAGTATTCTGCTCATAGGCAGCAGAGCAGTTGATGAAAACATGTTTGTTAGATCTCATGTCACATCTGTTCCTTGATGGCAACAGTATCCCACCTGAGCTTAATGCAACAATGAGCCTGAAAATTCATGTGGTGCAGTTAGGCTTTATGATGGAGACAGAGAGCAATTGGCCATGGTTTGGACAAAGAGCATAAAGTTAACAATGTCTTCCCCCAGTCCCTCATTCTACAGTTACATACCATGTTCTACATTGGTCTGCTTGTAAAATATAGTCAGAAGTTTCTAAGGCTATGTTAAGCCTCTCAGAGGAACTCCATGGTGGACCTCATACACTCAGCCTCATTCTTTCCATCAACTATAGCATAGTTTCACTTGGCCTAGACTGTAAGAACACTTTCTATTCCTCCTTTCTCTACCTCAAGTGTGTCTTCAGAAAACACAGACCCCTATTGTTTCTGCATCATTTATAAGAACTAACTGATAAAAGAATATTCAATCTTTTGTGAGGTGAAGAATCATAATATTTCTTCAACAGGATGGTGGGAAACTCATAGTCTTCCACATGCTGTTGGTCTCCAAATCCCACCATTCCTTATTATTGGCCATGCTGTATGGGGCTGATGGGAATAGGGATCTTAGATCTTTCAAGGTCCATGGGTTCCCCACTTCTACTATAACAATATACTTTGAGCTTTCTTCCACAGGTGGGGTGAGTCTTAGCATGGTAGGAAAAAGTACATAACTTACTGAAAATAAAGACAACTGAACTTTCTCCTCCCTCCCTCCCTCTCCTTACAAAATAATCAGCAAAGACAATGAAATTCATAGATTTTTCCCTTTTGTGCAACTAGATTTAAATATTATAGTTCTAGGAAGCATTTTCTTGTCTTTATCTTTTTTTTTGGTTTTCTTTTTTTTTTTCCTGCAGATGATAGAAATAAAGAGATAGTAACAGTTATATAAACTATGAAAAGGTAATTCAAAACCACAACCATTAACCAGTATGATTGATTGATTGATTGATTGCACTGTAATGATTTAGTACAGCCATTCCCCATCATTCATTCTAAAAATACAACATGTTCCATACAAACAAGAACCACAAAACAGAGCAGCAGGCCAAGAGATAAATAGGTCATGACAGCAGCAATAAAATATCTCAACTTGATTAGGGTGGAGCCAGAGTATTTGGAGATAAAGTGGCTGGTGTTGGCAGTGGTGAGGAACACTTTCCTTCAGCTTCTCCTGATTTACCAACTATGCCCTTACCTGGATGAGCAGTGCCTAGCAACAGTGACCCATGCTCCGGTAACTTCCCAATTGAGCTACTGCATTGTGCTCTACATGGATTTTCCTTGAAGATGCTCCAGATATTTCAATTGGTTCAGAATAGTTACCAGGATATGAATGGGGACTGGCAGGTACTCTCATTTAGTGCTTGTCCTATGCAGTTTACACTAGCTGCCAATTGAAGTCCAGGCCCAATTTAAGGTGCTGGTAATGACCTATAAAGCTAAATGGCTCCTGGATACCCAAAGGAGCACCTTCTTCCTTATGCACCCACCCACCCCTTGAGATGTGAGGCACAGGTCCTTCTCCAGGAGCCTTCCTTGAAGATGATTAGGAGATCAGTTACCCAGAGAAGGTTCTTTTTGGCCAAGGTGCCCTAACTCTGGAATTTGTTCCCCAGTAAGATTTGCCTGGCACCTTCACTTTGTTCTTTTCAGTGTTAGGAAAAAACCTTTTTATTGTCCCATTATTTTAATATTTAATTGGGTTTATTGTGGGTTTTATTATTGAGGTTGGATGCAGTTCCTTGTTTTGTTTTATATATTTTTTTTCTCTTTCTTGTAAGCCTTCCTGAGATGCTTGCAGGGGATGGCCTATAAAAGCTTTTAATTAATACATAAAATAAACAAACTGTGGGTGGGACTGGTAGCCATGGCCCCAATCCACTAGCCACATTAAGCCCTCACACATGGTTTAAAGGTGAAGGACTGGAAAGTTTACAGATCCAAATTTATAAAGGGGGAAAGATTCTTGCAGTATAGTCCACAGCTATGCTCATAGTGCAGAGCCTCGAGGACCTTCAACTACTATTGTGCTGTTAAGATATAATCCATGAATAACGGCGATAAATAAGAGCTACACTATGAAAGTCCTCTGAGAGCATCCACATGACCAGAAGTCATTTGCAGGTATACATCATACTACATAACACAGTATACAATGTTAAGCATATGTAAGAAAGCAGGAAGGGGACAAGACCAGTTGCTCTACAGCTTCATCCAAAGGCTCATTGGCATTTTCTTTCTAGTGCTGTAACAAACAGGGTGGAGGACAATGCTACCCATTTTTTCATCCATTCTCATTCAATCTGATAGAAAAGAAATGGCTTTTTAAAGAAATTCAGCACTGAAATAATTTTGGAGAAAATCTTCTGACTTGGACTCACAGTAGGTAGATAATCAATGTGTCCAGTGTCCCACTTCTCTGTTGCTGCTGTTGTTGTGGACTGAATAACGTCATCTCTCCAGCATCCTGAAGTCTCATTAGCTTCATGCACTTTCATTCAAGCCCAGGGGAAGACATCATGAGATATTTCACCTCATGAAGCCTGGGCAGCTGCAGAGGTGAAGCCTGGGCATGAAGCCTGGGCAGCTGCAGAGATGACATCATGTTCATGATCATCATAATCATCAATTTCAAAAATGTCTATACCACCTGTAGCTGAAGTCCTCTGTGCAGTTCACAACATTAAGTCACCCATCCAGATTTCAACCAGTCCCAACCTTACTTAGCTTCCAAGCTGAGGTAAGATCAGGTACTTTAGAGAGCACCCAGAGAATGAGAGAGAGAAAAAGTGGGCGGGGGGACCTTCTTTTGTAAGGGAAGAAATTTTTCTGAAAATTTTAGCTCAGTGCTACCTCCAGTTCTTCTGGGGCGAGTCACAACAGTGGCCATCCAGAAGCAACACTGCCACCCCTGCATTGTGGGGAATGCAAAGTGGGGGTCAGCATACAGTTGGTCTTGTTGCCATTTTGCAGAGGAAGTACAACCACCAACAGAAGAAGCCATGTTACAGCCTCTGCCAGTGGTGAGCTCCACCTGTGAAAAATCGTTGGCAAATTTCTCTTTCCCCTGGAGACATTCAGTAAAATTAACACACACACCCCCAGAGAATTTTGAGACATCATTCAAACAACACTTTATGCATTTATTTCGTGCTTTCCATCCTAATAAGCCCAGGTGCCACTTCTGTCCCAGAAGAGAGACAACACCGAAGGAACATGTTATCTTCGGCTGCTTTGCTATCTAAGAGAACAATACTCTGGACAGATTATTATGCACCTTGATATAACCTCAAATAACAGTAATCTAAATGTATTTCCTGTCCAGGTTTTTCAGTAGCCATTGCCACAATCATCAACTGAAATAAGACTATGTGTCTTGCATGCCTGTGCCTTTCAGACTGGGAGACAAATGGTGGGGATGCTGCACTCCATCCAGCTTCTCTTCAGGTTTTACCTTGCAGAAAGTTCCTGTTTTGGCCAGAAGAAGCATCAGGAGTTCAGAAAATCAGGATGTTGTGATTAGGCTAACATTGAAGGATAATTAGTGAGAGGAAGCCCAAAGGTGGAAAAGGATTCACTTTTTGACTGCAATGATTTTCTTCTGGCTGTGGCTACCAGTTTTGTGGTTGGTGTTTGTGTCTCACACTGAGGGCAAGGGGCAGTCTGTTATTTGTGGTATGAATGAACCCCTGCACATCCCACATGAGTATTATCAACCAGGAGACCTCACAATTGGCTTGATGTCTTCCCAGTTCTTCTCCCTTTTTGACACAATGCTCTTTGATCAATCTCCCCATGATATGTTTGTTGAAGAACCTGTGTAAGGACTGCTTTATTCCCAGTGAAATGTCTTTTGTCAAATTAGGCTGATGGTAGAAACTATGATATGTGAATATTTCTCATCAGATAACTTTTGACAAGTTCTTATAAAGCTTAATTAAGAATAAGAGGTAGATATATCTATAGTTCTATCAATCTTTCCATCATTTATCTTTTCTCTATCTATAGATCAATATATTCGGGGGGGAGGATACACATCCTTCTGTAGGATATCTTATTCTTTTCTCCATCTTACCTTTCCTATTCTATAGTGCAACTTACAGGACATATGTTGGTCATTGGCTCCTTTGTGGTTTCCAAAATAGCCTTTATCCATCTAACTTTACGATAACTAACTCTAAGGATAGTTATTCTCTATCTCTCCCTCCCTTCAATCTTTATTTTTTAAAATTTTGTTTTATTCTGGATGGAGTGGGTTTGATCCAGGATGTGTTCTCCATGAAAGGGAGGGATATTACATGAGAGGAACAGCTTCACCTGAAGCTGTTTCCTGTGTCCAATTTCTCAGGTTCTCTTCCTCTCCTGACTGCATCTTTCATCCAGTTCAACATGGTCTTCTGACTCTCTGTGTAGGACTTTTAGGGGACTGGAGGTGCCACTTTGGAATGGTAGGAAGGAGTGGAGAAGTCCACTTACCTTAGGATAGCTGATTCATATAAATCTGGTTCCATATCTGCCTTTGAATTTAGTCTTTAGTAACTCGAGTTTATCCTCTGTATATACTTGAAGACAATTTGTATGCTCACATAGAATTATTGCAGACTTTCTCCTTTTCCACTATATTCTCTTTAGCCATTCTTTCACCATCTCTTTTACTATAAGTATATTTCCCATTTCAAATGTTGATGTGATTGTATTGACAATGCTGAATTTTCAAATATTAGGAACTTTGTAAACCTAGCTTGTCAGGGAATATTCAGGATGCTGCTTTCATAGTTATTGTTTTAACAGTGCTTTGACAGGAGAATCATAATTCATTGATTTAGATCTCCCCCCACCCTTCTTTTTACACACACGCGCAGACACACACAAAACCTTCTATTCTCATACACCAGTATCTCATCTTAGGAAATAATTGATATCCTAGATATCCTTTGTCTCAATAGAAGCAAGATTAAGGAGTTAGTTTCTTCTTCACAATGTAAACTTGAACTACAATATTTTAATAATTACACTGCTATTCATATATTTCTGTGAGACAATTGAACATTATTAGCTTTTTCCCCTTCCTAAGCACTACAGCTGTTTTTTCTTCTCTTTGAAACTGAAGGAAGAAGTGGAAGTTTTCCTGGACACAATTTTCCCTTCATGAAAAGCCAAAAATTGTTTGTATTTTACTTATCCCAAACACAGCTTCAGAAATATGAACAATCTGTAATAACAGTGAAAAGCTATTTTGTATCTCTGCTTCATAATTAAAAGTTGTTCTGTGCAATGTTTTACCTACCTGTTCTATACTCCTCTCAGTTCCTCAATGTTGTTAAGCTAGAGATGTTTTTACTTTAAAGATGTGTGGTTATAATAAAGTTCAAAATACCATGACACATTAGAAGGGACTCAGGAAGTAGTCTATGAAGTCTAGAATATGTATGTAAGTTGGCCGATACTCTCATTACAGTGTTGTGACAAAAAACTACCAGCATGTTCTGGCCTTGGTATTGGCCGTGAAGGAGGTCAATGAAAATCCCAGGCTTTTACTGAATATTACATTGGGATTCCACATCTATGACAGCTACTTCAATGAAAAGATGACTTACCAAAGCACCCTCAATCTTCTGTTTGGCCTGAAAACCATTGCTCCCAATTACAAATGTGACACACAGAAGAATCTGATAGCTGTAATTGGAGGACTTGATTCTGAAACTTCCCACTACATGGCCAGCATCTTACATATTTATAAGATTCCCCAGGTAGGATATGCATGCAAGGAATACAGGTTTTGCAGAAATAGAACAAAGAAAAATGTTTATTAAAAATGGAGTGTTGCTTGGGAAGTAACCTGCCAACTTAGAAATGTTAAAAGACAAGTAGAGGGAGTGGGGAACAGCTGGCATGGAAAGATCCAGGACAACTGCCACTCCAAGTCCCCAGAAATGACAAAAAGGGGCACGCCAGCTGTTGGGGAAGGGAAGGAGCTGAGGTTGATGACTTAGCCTGACTGCTATCAGTTCCCCAGCCTCCTTTCCTCTCCCTCTCTGGTGCTTTTTTATGGACATATGAAAAATGATCATAGAAACATAAAGACATAGAAACAGAATGAGTCATAAGGAGCCACCCAGGCCATCTAATCTGACTCCAGCCTCCAGCCAGCTCCACTCATGACATGCCTACTTTCATTCTTGAGAAAGATTTGTTTCGGAAAGTAACCCAATTGATGATATCAAATCCACTTTCCAATTCACCATTCTCATCCAAAGACACCTGATCACCCACATTATTGTTAAGTGAAATTCTCCGCAAGAAGTGACGGAGCTACAGTCAAAGAGTGTTTATTAATCACATTGTATGGTATCCCACTTTGAGCAACAACATAGCGAACTTCAAAATAGGCACATGGTAGGCTAACCAGCCTGTAATTCCTCATGACCCCTAGATCATCCAGAAAAATATATGGAATAAAGCTTGGGGGCAGCAGAGATCAACATTGCTATCCATCACTCCATGCCTTGGATGCACAAAAACCACTGACTCGAGATTTATGTGAATCTCAGCAAAGGGTGTTGGATTACACCTTACTTTGTTCTAAACTACCCTGAGAGCTATTGGACAGTATGGAATATTACTAACAACAAAGTTTATATTAATACTAATAGAAATTATGTCCTACATTCACCAATTTATTTGCACTTGCCTAGATTGCTTATTACGTATTTGGACCTATGCTGAGTACCAAGATCCAGTTCCCTTTCATCTACCGCACTGTCCCCAGTGAAGAATATCAGTATTCTGGGATTGTCCAACTACTGCTGCATTTCTTATGGACATGGGTTGGGATCATCACATTGGATGATGACAAAGGAGAGAATTTTATACAGATTTTGATGGCAATGCTTTCTCAGAATGGCATTTGTTCTGCTTTCACTGCAAGAATGCCATCCCTTACTAGTTTTTCTCAATTGTATGACAAATACTTCAACACTGGGATTCTGCTCCATCTTTTTAGCCACAGTAAATCCAAAGTACTTGTTGTATTTGCGGAAACTCTGTCAACATTGGGCTTGAAGTTGCTGCTAATACAGAATGAAAATATGGAAGGAACTCTGGGCAGAGTGTGGATCATGACAGCACAGTGGGATTTTCCAGCAGTGCAGTTTCACAGGAACTGGGATATACGTATCTTCCAGGGAACATTGTCTTTTGCAGTTCACTCCAATGAAGTGGCAGGATTTCAAAACTTCCTTCTGGCTTTAAAACCAAACTTATTAAATGGGGACAATTTTATCAAGGACTTCTGGGAACAGTCTTTCGACTGCCTATTTTCAGATGCTCATGAAGGTGGGGAGAGCCCTGGAACTTGCACTGGGAAGGAAACCTTGCAGAGCCTTTCTGGACCCTTCTTTGAAATGAGCATGACTCCCCAAAGCTACAGTGTATACAGTGCAGTCTACATTGTGGCACATGCCTTACATGCCATGTTTTCATCAGCTATCAAGCTCAGACTGGCAGCAGCACTTCCAAATCCCCAACCATGGCAGGTATTACCTTACAACCCTAACTTTACTATCATAAACAGGCAGATATACAGGATCACTGATTATTTAGTTTTTACAATAAGTGTGGATAAATTTCTGGGAGTCTTTGGAGTTACTTTGTTGTTGTTGTTTGTCTGCTTTCAGTGATCTGGTGCTTCTTACTTCATGGACTAGCCACCTGGTGCTTTATCCTTATCCCATCAAAATTCCATCATAAAACCTGCTTCAGTAATGGGGAGAGCCATTTCATTTAAAATAGTGTTCCAGGGGATTGTCGCTTTGATGGATCAGCTGCTGCAGCAATTCCTTTTTCCAGTGAGTCAATGAGGAGGAAGGCATGAGTCAAGGATGCACTGGCCATCAACAGTGTCAATGCCCCTTTGGTGGAAAAAAAGTGGGGAGAGTCATGCAGAGTGACAGGAAGAGGGGTGCCATTTTCTAAGATGAACAAAAGAGAGATGCCAGTGGGGTACAGCAGGAAAGCAAGGGGTCCAGGATTCCTCAAAAAAAGCAGCACCACTGTTCATATTTTGGAGCTCGCTACTTTGTTGCTCCCGGTGGGATTCCATATGATGTGATTAATAAACACTCTTTGACTTGTAGCTCCATCATTTCTTGCAGAGAATTTCATTTAACAACAGTGTGGGTGACCAGGTGTCTTTGGATGAGAATGGTGAATTGGAAAGTGGATTTGATATCATCAATTGGGTTACTTTTCCAAACAAATCTTTCTCAAGAGTGAAAGTTGGAAGGATGGATCCATGGGATGTACAAGCCAAAGAGCTCACCATTGATGAGGATACCATCACATGGCACGACGCATTTGATCAGGTTGGATCTGACTGCTGGTTCTTGGTACAGCCTGAAAGGATATGTTTTCCAGGGTCCATCCTAGATAGTTTATTTGTCAGATAATTCATTAAGTTATGCATGCTCTGAACAGGAGCAACCCTCCTTAATTAAATCTTCTACCCCATATTAAGGAAAACATAGATAGCTACGTTCTGATTCAGAAGCTCAGTTCATATGAAAATTTGCAAGTGCTGATACTCAAGCCCCCTGGCATCTATGAAAGTTTCCTTACCAGTGAAACTACCAGTTCCAGGCTGGGTGGGGACAATGGGAGTGTGGGAACACCACTTTCTCACTCCTTGTGCTTTCAGTTGTGCTTAAACCCTTTCATCCACACAATTAACATGACACTCCTGATGCTTTCTCAACTTTTGTACCTAATCTGCCTTTAAAATGGTATGAATAGAGGGAGAATTAGGAGAGATAAAATACTCTATTTGTGCAATGAATGTTATAGGAGTGTGTGACTGCATTGGGAGGGGACTGCGGGTCAAAGCCTCATTTTCCCAGCTTCTCCATGAAGGGCAACACACGAAAGCTGGTGCATTCACCAGGCCTTTATTCTTCTCTTACAGTTCCCACCGCATGCTTCCCACAGTGCCTTGCCTGCTCTGGCTCCCTTCCCCCTTGTCGCTATGGCAATGAGTTGTGCCATCCCGCAGTACCGCTGCCCAATCTCTGCTTGCAGTTTGCTCTGGCCTCCCTGCCAGCGGCTGCTGCTGCAGCTCTTCTTCAAACACACGTGTGTTTCTGTGCTCTTTGCTCTCTCGCTGTCTCTCACCGTCTCTCTCTCCTCCCCCCTCTCCTTCCTCTGCCACCTCTTTATGATCCCTCCTCATGCACCATTCCACCCAGCTCAGCTGTCCCTGCCTCAGTCTGCAATGCCATACAGTTTCACACTCCCTCGTATCCCCTGGCCACTGCTTCCCAGCAAATTGCTCTCCCCACCTGGACTCCCAGCCTCGCCCTGTTATCTTTGGTCTGGCCCTGTGGAAGGCCCCAGGAAAAGGGATGAGCCCCTCTGTCTCTTCACATACCCCCCCTCCAAGAGGGGATCACCATCTTCGTGTAAGGGCCAGGGACTCTGGCGGGAAATGAAATCAGCATTAGCATGTTGGCGACCATGCCTGTGCTGGACCGTAAAGGCATACCCTGCAATGCTAAATACGAATGAGTGAGGTGGGGATTGTCATCTTCCATCCTTCTTAGCCATTGTAATGGAGTGTGGTCGGTGACCAACATGAATGGGGCACCCCAGAAATAGTGTCTCAAAGCCAGAGCAGCCCATTTGACAGCTAGAGCCTACCTCTCTATTGTGGAGTACCGGCACTCTCGTTGCTCCAGCTCATGGCTCAAGTAGAGTACCGGATGTTCTCCCTGTGTCAGAACGGCTCCCAAGCCCACGGTTGAGGCATCGGTTTGGAGGATAAAGGGACGGGAGAAATCTGGCGACTGTAAAACAGGCTGGCTGAGGAGACAGGTCCTCAGTTCTTCAAAAGCTAGTTCCATCTCCTCAGTCCATATCAGGGCACAACTTTGCCTTTTCTTAAGTGCCTCTGTCAAGGGGGCAGCTTTGGAGAAGAAATGATGGATGAATCACCGATAGTAGCTGGCCAGGCCCAGAAACTGTTGTACTTCCTTCATGGTGTGCAGCCGTGGCCACTGGCTTAGCTTCTCCACTTTATCTGCCATAGGCTGTATCTGCCCATGACCTACAATATACCCCAAATAATGCACCTCCTGTCACACTATTCTGCAGTTGCATGGATTAGCTGTCAACCCAGCCTGTCTTAGAGCCACCAAAACTTGCCGGAGGTGATCTAGATGTTCCCCCCAGGTACGACTAAAAATGACAATGTCATCAATATAAGCCGCAGCACAATGGGACAAATGTCCCAAGACCTTGTCCATAAGCCGCTGGAAAGTCGTGGCTGCCCCATGTAACCCAAAGGGCATATATTTAAATTGGAATAGCCCTACTGGTGAGGCAAAGGCTGTCTTTTCTTTGGACTCTTCAGTCAATGGGATTTGCCAATACCCCTTAGTGAGGTCTAAGGTTGAAAGGAAATGGGCTTGCCCCAGAGGATCCAGCAACCCATCTATCCGGGGCATGGGGTAAGCATCAAACCTTGATACCTCATTGACCCTCCTAACATCAACACAGAAACTGACACTCTGATCCTGTTTGGGAACCAAGACTGGCTGACTCCTCCACGCACTCACTGGCTCCTCAATCACTCTTAATTGGAGCATCTGTCTCATTTCCTCTATTATCACTTGCCTCAATCATGGTGGGTAGGGCCGGGTTGGCACCCTGACAATGGCCCAGGGACTGTTTGTATATGGTGGGCTACAACCGTCGTGTGCCCAGGTAGATCAGAGAATACTTCCGTAAATTCTGCCTCCAAGGCCCTGACTTGTGCTACTTGAGTGGGTGTTAGTTGTGGATCAAGAGATAATTTCCCAGGGGCTAATGCCTGCACCTTGGGCGACTCAGCTATACAGTCTACCTGATGACTGGTACTCTCCCTTTCTCTTCAGGCCTTGAGTAGATTTACATGGTAAATCTGGGTCGAGCGCCGCCTATCGGTGAGGCGTATCTCATAGTCCATTGGCCCCACCCTCCTAATGACCGCGTAAGGCCCCTGCCACCATGCAAACAATTTGCCCCCTCCCGTGGGCAGGAGTAGGAGAATGTGCTGGCCAGTTGAAACATCTGGGGCTGGATGTGCTGATTGTAATAGTACGGCTGCTCTCCTTGGGCCTGTTTTAAATTACTCTCCATCCGCTGAGCTAGGTCAGTGAGGTGTTTCCTCATATCCAGCACATACTGGAGGGTAGAGGTGGGCTTTGGGACTGACGCCTCCCAATGCTCCTTGACCAGGTCTAGAATTCCCTGGGGGTGCCACCCGTATAGCAACTCAAATGGTGAAAATCCTAAAGAGACTTGAGGCACCTCCTGTATTGCAAACATCAAGGGCCCCAACAAAAAAATGCCATTGTCATGGGTAGGTTGACACAAACTTTCTAAGCATCTGCTTAAGGATCTGGTTAAAACGTTCCACTAGACCATTGGTCTGGGGGTGATAGACTGTGGTGCGTAAGGGCTTTATTCTCAACAGGTCCCACATCTGCCTCAGCACCTGGTTCATGAAATTAGTGGCCTGATCTGTCAAAATTTCCTTGGGGAAGCCCACCAGGGCAAAGACCCCTAATAGCTCCTGGACAATCACCCAAGCTGAAGTACTCCTGAGAAGCATGGCTTCAGGATAGCAGGTTGCATAGTCAATCACCACTAGAATATATTGGTGTCCCCAGGCTGACTTTTGCAAGGGCCCTACCAAGTCCACCCCAATCCTTTTGAAGGGCTCCCCTATAACTGGCATGGGTATTAAGGGCCCTGATGGGGATCCTTTCCTCTGAGTCTTCTGGCATTCTGGACATGACAAGCAGTACTGCTTGGTCTGAGCATACACCCCGGGCCAGTAGAACCTTCAGACAAGACTGTCGGTGGTTTTCTCCACTGCCAGGTGGCCAGTGGTAGGCAAGTCATGGGGTAGTCATAAAACGGCTAGCCTCAGGGGTTCAAGAATCACCAACTGCCACAGTTCACCGTGTCCTTCTCGCGCAGGTACAATCCTATACAGCAATCCCCCCGCAATCTCAAAGTGCAGGCCACTCCTTGCACCCTCTCTTGCTCCTGAGGGGTCCTGGGCTTGTCTCAGGCATGGACAAGAGGGGCATCATTTTGCTGGAGGAAGACCAGGCGCTTGTAGGAGGTATGCAGGGCTGTAAGTGTTACGTCTTCCTCCTCCCCTGCAAAAGCAACCTCTGAGCTCACCTCCCTCACCAGCTCTTCAAAATGGGGCCAATCACGTCCAATTATCACTTCATATGCTAAACTGGGGACAACCCCCACCTTCCCCTTTACTTCCACCTTAGCCCATTGAGTGGCATAAGGCTTGACATCCCCATGTATACATTTCACCGGTAGTACATCCACCAAGGGGCTGCACTGGGCTTGCCTAACCAGGGTGCAACCACAGCCGGTATCTACCAAGGCCTCAACTTCCTTCCCATCCACCCTGGCCTGAACCCACCAAGCTTGCTGAGGGGCGGTGCTCACCGGGGCAGACCACCAGGCTTCCACAAAGTCACACTCCATCAATGGACAGTCTTGCCGGAAATGCCCCTCCTTGCCACAAGTAAAGCACACTGGCTTCTGCTGGAATCCTCTTCCTTTCCCACTTGTAAGGCGCTGCAAAGCCAAGGGGGGGCCCGGAGCACATGCTTCCAGCTGGGAGACATACTTAAGCTTCATGCCCCTTCCAGTGGGTGTGGGTTCAGCAGGTCTTGCTCTCTCTGGGCCCTGGTTGCACCGGCCCCCAGGGCCTTTCTGCCTCTGACCCTCCTGCCAGGGTGGCCCTGGCCTGTCTCCTACATCTGGCTCTTCCGCAGCCACAAAGTTTTCCATAAGTTCGATGGCCTCCTCTAGGGTTTCAGGCCTTTGGCACCTAACCCAGTTTCTGGCTAGGGTGGGCAGGATGCTTATAAACTGCTCCAGCAGGACCAGCTCAGCCACCTGTTCCACACTGCGGACTGCAGTCTTCCTTTATCTCAGCCCATTAGCCCGAATCTTCTGTCCCAAGGCTCTGGGTGATGTGCCAGTTGCAAATGCAACCCCTCTCATCCGCTGCAAATAGGTCTCTTCCAAAACATTCAAAATCCCTAGAATGGCAGCCTTAACTAAATCATATCGGCCTGCCACTTCTGGGGTAAGGGTATCCACTGCTTCTTGGGCAGGACCCATGAGGCAAGGTGTCAGAATAAGGGCCCACTGGTCTTTGGGCCACTTGGCCACGAAGGCAACCCTTTCAAAGGTATTTAGAAAGGCTTCAGGGTCATCTTCTGCAGTCATCTTAGAGATCCGCATAGGCCCTGGGCACTTTCCTCCCATCTGTCCTACCAAGGTCTCAGATTGAGGGCTTTGTAGTCTCCCCAGCACTTGCTGACACTAAGAGCTTTGTTTCTGGAGCTGGGCAGTGAAAAACTGCTCCATAAGCTGCAACTGTTGCATTGCTAATTTCTGCAACAGGTGTTACAGCTCCTGGGCCTAGAGCAGGGGTCTCAAACTCAACTTACCTGGGGGCCACTGGAAGTAGACTCTGGGTGAGGCTGGTCCGCATCAAGTATTCCACCACCACGGTGGTGGTTAGCCGCTCATCCCGCGTCACTCCCGGAAGCTGGCCCTGGTGCCGCTGGCACTTTGAAGGCTGCAGAGCCCCTCCCCCATGCCCTGCCCATCCTGGCAATTGGCCTGCGGGCCGTGAGTTTGAGACCCCTGGCCTAGAGCATTTGCTGTTCAGCCCACCAAGCCATCCAGGAGTCAGCTGGGGTGGTGGGGGGGAACAGCCTGTGCATCCCCCTGCCGCCCTGTCCCTGGCATCTCCACCACTGTGACCGGGGGCTGCAGGAGGGGGCTCCGGGCCAAAGCTTCATTTTCCCAGTTTCTCCGTGAAGAGCAACACAAGAAAGCTGGTGCACTCACCAGGCCTTTATTCTTCTCTTACAGTTTCCACCACATGCTTCCCGCAGCGCCTTGCCCTTGCCCACTCTCTCCCTTCCCCCTTGTCGCTATGGCAATGAGTTGCACCATCCCAGCAGTACCGCCGCCCAATCTCTGCTTGCAATTTACCCTGGCCTCCCTGCCAGCAGCTGCCGCTGCAGCTCTTCCTCAAACACACGTGTGTTTCCGGGCTCTTTGCTCACTCGCCGTCTCTTGCCTTCTCTCTCTCCTCCCCCCTCTCCTTCCTCTGCCACCTCTTTATGATCCCTCCTCATGCACCATTCCACCCAGCCCAGCTGTCCCTGCCCCAGTCCGCAATGCCATACAGCTGCTCACTTGTTCATATCCCCTGGTCGCTGCTTCCCAGCAAATTGCTCTCCCCACCTGGACTCCCAGCCTTGCCCTGTTGTCTTTGGCCTGGCCCTGTGAAAGGCCCCAGGAAAAGGGTTGAGCCCCTCTGTCTCCTCACAGAGTGCTTCTCATGCGTATTTTTCATCTCCTGGAAAATTTGAAATTATTTTATGTACAAAATGATAACTCTGTCTTCCTGATATACCCAGTTTCTACATGGAACATCAACAGAGAAAAGCATTTAGAAGAATAGGTTTAGGATTTCCTTGCTTCTATTTATGCGCAGATGACACCCTCTTCAGTGTGCAATGATGAATGCCACCCGGGTTCTGTTAGGAAAAAGAAGGAGGGGAAACCATTCTGTTGTTATGATTGTGACCCATGTCCAGAAGGGAAGATCTCTAACCAAAAAGGTAGGTCTCACATTATATTATGATGTCTTCATTGATAAATGAATGGACAATGTTATGGCCAAACTCAAAGTTGCCATGACTGTTTGAATGATGCATTGCTCACAAATTATAAAGAATTGCTATATATTCATGGAGGGTTGGGCGGTTGGATTCCACATGCTACCTTTCTCCCACTCTGAGCATTCAGGTGAAAATACATTTGGTGGACACAGCTGTGCAAGTATGCACTTGTAAGTCCTCTTTTGTGGGATCAGAAACCTTCAGAATCCTGGAGAGGGTCTTAGCAACACATACCCATCTGAGAGACTGAGTTGTCATTCCTTCCTTTTTAAAGACATGGACAGCTGTATTGAGTGCCCAGACGACAAGTATCCAGACAGCAACCAAGAAGGATGCCTTCCCAAGCTCTTAAACTTTCTGCATTACGATGAAAGATTGAGCATCGGTTTAGTTCTTATGGCTTTTTCATTCTCCCTGGTCACAGCTTGGGTGCTGGGGACGTTCATCAAGTATCGAAGCACTCCCATCGTCAAAGCCAATAATCGTGGGCTCACCTACACGCTGCTCCTCTCCCTGCTGCTGGGCTTCCTCTGCTCCTTGCTGTTCATTGGCCGTCCTCAGCCAGTCAGCTGCCTCCTTCGGCAGACGGCTTTTGGCACCATCTTCTCAGTGGCTATTTCTTCTGTTTTGGCAAAGACACTGATGGTGGTTCTGGCATTTGTGGCCACAAAGCCAGGATCCAGGATCAGGAGCTGGGTGGGGAAAAGAGTGGCGGCCTTGATTGTTCTCTCCTGCTCCCTGATTCAAGCAGCCATATGCACTGCATGGCTCTGGACTGCTCCTCCGTTCCCAGATCTGGACATGCACTCTTTGGCCCAGGAAGTTGTGTTGTATTGCAATGAAGGCTCTGTCCTCATGTTTTATGGGGTCCTGGGCTACATGGCCTTTTTGTCTTTAGTAAGCTTTGTGGTGGCTTTCTTTGCTAGGAAGCTGCCTGATGCCTTTAATGAAGCCAAGTTCATCACTTTCAGCATGCTGATGTTTTGCAGTGTGTGGGTCTCATTTGTTCCGACTTACCTGAGCACCAAGGGGAAATACATGGTGGTTGTGGAGATCTTCTCCATCTTGTCCTCCAACGCTGGTTTACTGGGCTGCATCTTTTTCCCCAAATGTTATATAATTGTCCTGAGGCCTGAGCTGAACAACAAAGAACAACTGAGAAGGAGAAATATGTAGAAGTCTTTAATCTGGGTCAAATATTTACGCAAAGGCATGCATGAGAGTCCTTCTTTACTTAGCAGGAATTCTTAGGGGTCAAGAGTTTCCTTTTTTTGAAGTTCAGGAACAGTTTCAAGTCTTCATTTTTCCATTGTTCCAAAATCAGTAACATTTCCAAGTCTTCATTGTTCCAGTGTCCAAGTGGGATCAATGCCAAACTAGCTTATAATGCAGCTATATTATCTATTTGACACAATAATTTCTTGCTTGCTTTTGCATTAATCAATTACTTTTCTGTGTCAAAAATGGTTGTTTCAGTAATAAAATATTTCTAACTTCCAAAACAGTTATTCATATTTAGACAACAGATTTTAATGGGTCAGCATGGAAATCACTGGCTCCTGATCCCTGTTATTTTTTTACTGTGGTGGCCCCAATAACACTGTGATATCAGCCACTGAAACATCTGCAGCCCCAGATAGCTTTCCCAATCAGTTGTGGAAGGGCAAAGGGGATGAAACTCTGCCATTTTTGTAATTCCACAGAGAACTCTCACACCTATGATGCAAACACTGTCTGATCTGAATCAAAGTTTTTTTTTTTTAATGCCTGCACTTATTCCTTGTTGGTTATGAGAATTTTAGAGAAAACCAGAGAAGACATATTGGCAACTCCCTCTGTCCCCAGATTTCACTTTTCCCCCACTTTGCACAGTCATTGATGAGATTGCATGAACACAATGGCATATATATTTGGAAGTGAACAGTCAGAAGTAATCCATACAATAATGGAGATTGTCAGGGAAAGAAAGTGGCTGTACTGAACAAGTGCCTGGCCAAGGTAATGGGCTGTTTGAGGGCCAATAAACTGAAACTCAATCCAGATAAGATGGAGGTACTGTTGGTAGGTGATTCAGGTTTCTGGGTAAGTGACTTGGGCCGTGCCCTGGATGGGGTTGCACTCCCTCTAAAGAACAGGGTCCTCAGCTTAGGAGTACTCTTCAACCCAGAACTGTCCCTGGAAGCCCGGAGTGCTTTCCTTCAGCTCCAGCTGGTCCACCAGCTGTGTCCTTACCTAGAAGAGAACTACCTGGCAACAGTGATGCATGCTCTGGTTACCTCCCGTTTGGGCTACTGTAATGTGCTCTACATGCAGCTGCCCTTGAAGATGGTCCAGATACTGCAGGTGGTGCAAAATAGAGATGCCAGGATGCTATTGGGGACTGGTCATTATTCTCAGTTAACACCAGTTCTCTATCAGCTCCATTGGCTTCCCATTAAAGTCCAGGCTCAATTTAAGGTGCTGGTTATTATCGATCAAGCCCTAAACGGCTTGGGACCAAGATACCTAAGGGAATGTCTTTTTCCCTATATGCTCTCCAGCCCCTTAAGATGGGCAGCAGAGGCCTCCTCTGGGAACCCTCTTTGAAAGATGTCAGAAGACAGAGCACTCAGAAGAGAGCTTTCTCTGTGCTGGTGCCCCGACTATGGAATGCATTCCCTATATGCTTTTCAGCACCAGGTAAAGACATTTTTATTTGACCAATATTTTAATGTCAATCGATTTTAATTGTATATTTATTTAACTTATTTTAAATATGTTATTTTTAAATTCATTTGTGGCATAGCCAATTTATTTTGTTTAGGACTTATGTTATATATTGTAAGCCATCCAGAGACGTCAGTGATGGATGGTCTATAAATGCCCTAAATAAATAAATAAATAAATAAATAAATAAATAAATAAATAAAACCATGGCCCCTTTGGCAAACCAGCTACTGCACACACCTGAAAGGAAGAATCTGTAAGGTTGGTTCTCCCACATTTGGAGCAAGCCAGAATGATTGCAATTAACCTTTTGTATTCAAAATTTTGTTTCCTGCATATTCCTAGAAACTTCCAGAGGAGGAGATGTCTAATGGAAGTCTTGTGACTGAATTCCAGTTTCTTGGATTTTCCGACACCTCAGAGCTGCAGGTTTTGCAGTTTGTCATGTTCCTAACACTGTATCTGATGGCTCTGATGGGGAACTTCCTGATCATCACTGTCATATCCCTTGGTCATCACCTTCATACAGTCATATACTTCTTCCTGGTAAATTTATCTCTCGTGGATTTTGCTACCATCTCTGTCATTTTCCCCAAGTCAATGAGCAAGAGCAGGTCAATTTCTAACTTTGGATGCGCTGCACAGGTGTTTTTCCTCATTTCCTTCATGGCAATGAATATCTCCCTTCTCACAATTATTGCATATGACCGCTATTTTGCCATTTGTGACCCATTGCACTACACAACAGTCATGAGTGGAAGATCCTGTGTGCAAATGGCAGTCACTGCATGGATCAGTGGTCCCTATGGAACAATGAATGCTGCGAGCACTTTTGCAATCACCTTTTGTTCCAATGTCATCTATCAGTTCTTTTGTGAGGTTCCACAGCTGCTGAAGCTCTCCTGCTCTAATCTGTACCTCATAGAATTGACAATTCTTGCTTTCAGTACATGTTTGGTCTTCAGCTGCTTTATATTCATAGCAATGTCTTATGTACAGATCTTCAGAATGGTAGTGAAAATACCCTCTACGAAGGGAAGGAAAAAAGTATTTTCTACCTGCATTCCTCATCTAACTGTAGTATCTTTATCTTCACCTGTGCCTTTACCTACTTAAGACCAGTCTCCAGATCCATGTCTGAACTTGACCGAGTGGTTGCTGTGATCTACTGCATTGTGCCACCAATTATGAATCCAGTCATTTACAGTATAAGGAATAAAGATATCCAAGCAGCTTTGTGGAGACTGATTAACAAAGGCATCACCCAGGTTTTTTAAATAAGTTCACCCCACATTAAACTTGCTGATGGATATGCTGGAATGGGTGGCTTAATGATAACCTACCTGGGAATTTGAACTTAAACAAGTGTGCAACAGTAAGAGAAAGTTACTGGGAAAAAATACTGCTCTTAATCCCATTTACAAGTATAGAATTATAGAACTGGAAGAGAATTTGGGGGTTATCTAGTCCTCTTCTGCTCAGTGTAGGATCTGCAAATAGGATGCAGCTACAGTATCTCTGATAGCCTCTGTTTAAATACCTCCAAAAAATTACTGCCCCCCACCACCACATGCTGAGACAGAGTCTTCTACTGTTGGTTCCCTCTTATGATTAATGTTCAGCTCAAACATGTGGAAAAGAGGGCGTTTGCATGTGTTCTAATTCTGGAAAATGAGGCCAATGGCTATGCTATGTTCAGGGAGGATGCTGGAAAAACAAGAGAGGGAAAAAAGTAAAAGTAGAAAAAAGGTGTTCACCATCAGTTTTCCCTAACTATGCAGCCACTTCTGCACATCCTATTCTCTATTCTATCCACATGGTTTATCTGCCTTGAGAGAAATAGAATTTCCTTTGTGCTTCTTCTATTTTTACAGAAACCATAATCAAGGATTCAGACAGTGGAATCTCAACTTGTTGTGATCCAAACCTTCATTGTTGGACTATTTATTTCCCAAATTAGATGTGAGTGGAATGCAAAAGCAATCCAGTGTTGGCACTGATGATGATCACATTGCTGTCATTGAATAAAAGATTTTAAATATGTTTCATAGCTTGTTAATTTTAATAAATGGATCCTTACTTTCTCTCATTTTGAATCCTTTCCAAGTATGCAACACAGACGCCATTCTGGGTCAGAAGAACTGCTATGAGGAAGCCCTCTCCATCATCACCACCTGAAGTAGTGAGGTCCGCCCATGCCTTTACAAAGTGCAATGGCCACTTTGAAGTTCCCATGTTCTGGGTAGTGTCTTTGATACCATAATGTACAAAGAAAGGAAATCTATTCTAGCAATGTGTGTTTCCTCATATGCATATAAAGTAACACAACTGGGGAAATGAAATTCATGAGTACTTGCAGAAATGACAACGTTTTTCAAACTGAGTGATGACTATTACAAATTGCTATGAATAATATAGATAGCTTCATTTTTTTCTTATTTTGAATATATAAATAATAATAATAACACTTCTTTTCTAAGCTGAAAATTTAGTTGCTAATGGTTAAAAAGTTTCAGATCATGTTTGCAACAATCCACCATAGAGTGAAGCATGATCCACTGCTCACAATAGGTTATTGCTTTGGTCAATAGTCAGCATACAACTTTGTCCTGTAGGTCACATTTTCAAAGATGAAAAACTGTGTGCTGCGTTGAATACAGACAGAGATGTTGTGTGCCCACAGTCGGATGAGATTCCCAGGCACGCATGGGAGACCAAGGGCTCTGATGGGAATAATACCTTAGAAGAAGAGGAGTTAATCTTCGTCCCAGTAGACGCTCAGAGTTCTCACTCTGAGGTTGGAGTTGTTGATGCTTGCAAGGTTCCAGGTGGCAAACCACCCCCAGGGGGCCAGTCTGAGACAGTGGTGGATCAAAGCACTTCAAGGACAAGCATGCTACCCTCAATTATTGTGGGAGTAGTAAGACCACAGGTGTGGCCCCTGTTCTGGAGCCTCTTACAGACTTTTAAGACCAGCATTGTGAGCTATTTAATGCACTGCAGTCTGTGCCAGGTCACAGCAGAGCTGCCCTTAGGTTCAAACATTTGCCATCTGAAACCTGTAAAGAAAATTCCAGTGCAGATTTAAGAATATAGGAAGTTAGAACTTATTTATTTATTTAAAACTTTAAAGATTGTCCCTTAACATAGCATCAGGATGGTTTAACAGTAAGACAAAAGACAGAATAAAATACAGCAGTTTAAACACAACTTAAACTTGTGAGCACACACTTCACACACATACACACAGCAGCAGGGAGAGAGGAAGCTCATTAATCAAAAAAACAACAACTCCCTGGTGATGCTATTTGTATGTCTCCACAGTTCTCCTCAGCACATTTCAGTAGCATCTTCACTTATACTGAGTTTTAAAAGCCTTGAGCTGAAGTTAAAAGGAGGGAGAGAAGAACAGCAGCCTGTGTTGGTGGGAATGAGTCAGGAAGTCTCCTCTCTATCAAGATCTTTTCTGGGATGTGGTTTCAAAATGGGCTACTGCTGAAGTTCCAAAATGGAACAAGAAGTACAGCTCTGAACAGGTAAGACTATAATAAAAGGTATTCACACATGCATGTATATATCTTAAACATATGCAGTGGTTTAGTTGCTTATTTCATGGGCTCTCGAAAAGAGGATTAGAAAGGTGAGGTTGAGAGAGGAATTTCCCATGGAAATCTCTTGAGTCTCTAAATTCAAGACTGAAACTTACTCTTGCCAGTCCAATGCCCAGTTCATGCATGCCTGTTCCTCAACTGATTGCTGCACCAGGATCTAATGACCAACACATCAAACAGTATTGACAGTCTTGTCACCATTTCGAACAAAATGCAGTGCAATAAAAACCATTCACATATTGATAGAGGTACACAGTAGATACAGTTGAAATTCTGTGACAGCTGTTTGCATGCTTATTATTTATTTAAATTTGCTGACTGGCGGGCTTGTTTGTTTTAATGACTGCACTGATCTGAAGTCCCATGTCTGATTGGAGATGAGGAAAATATTGTTGAGTTCATATTTTAATGAGTCTTATCTACCAAAACCTAACTTCCAAATCAATATGAGAACTGGAGTGCCGTTATTCTTCAATAAACACAATATTCCAGGTTTAGTAATTTTTTCTCAGAACAAAATATAGAAACAAAAATGTATAAAGTAGAAAAAATTAGTGTAAGTGAAAAAATACTAGTACTCTCCACTGCAGCTTTCATAGAGTACTTTAAAAGAGCAGCACATTGGAGTTTTATTCTTCTCTTTCTTGAAAGATCCCCCAGTTCCACTTAAATTTAATTTACTTTTTCAGAACTATATGTTGTTCCTCTACAATGATTGTTGGCATGTATCTTATCATTTTTAAAAATCAGAGAAAAGGTTAACCCAGTTTCAGTGATATTAAGCCAACTAGTTAAATAGCATGCAATTGCTATGGATTTGGCAGTCTTTAGTGGCTTGTAACACTCACGGTGTTACAATTCCTGAACCGTGAACAATTGTCATTAAGTGGCCTTTTGCTTCTGGCACCATAGGATCAATCATTTCTTTCTTTTTCTTTCTTTCTTTCTTTCTTTCTTTCTTTCTTTCTTTCTTTCTTTCGTGTCTCTCTCTCTCCCCCCTCTTCCCTCCTTCTTTCCCCTCCCATCCCATAATGTCCCATCCTGACCCATCACTTTGACAAATCCAGGGAAATAGGGTCTGAGAGAGTTGATAGGGTCAAGAAACAATTGAGATGGGAGAATGAGATAATTTATGGGAGAAAAAAAATATAGGAATGCTGTCAAAACATTTGACTTGTTTTCATATGGCTACTTTATTTCACAGCCCACAGGGTGGCACCAAAGATAAGAGGAAGAAAATAAAAATGCTCCCCCAATATCTCTTCACAAATGAAGCTTCCATGTGAGAAGATGTGCAATGGGACAGCTGTCACTGAATTTGTGCTACTGGGACTCTCCAGCAACCCTGATGCCCACTTCATTCTCTTTGCTCTCTTTCTTTTCATTTACTTGGTGGCCCTGGTAGGGAACTTTCTTATCCTTCTCCTGATCAGTTTGGACAAAAGGCTTCACAACCCCATGTATTTCTTCCTGGGAAATCTTGCGGTGGTGGACATTGGTTATATAACCAGCACTGTTCCCAAGATGCTGCTCAACTACCTGTCTCAGGACAAGAGCATCTCTCTGGCCGGCTGCTTCACCCAGATGTTTTTCTTTATCTCCTTTGGTGGCATTGAGTGCCTTTTGCTGGGTGTCATGGCGTATGACCGGTATGCTGCCATTTGCCATCCACTGCATTATAGCATGCTCCTGAGCCCCAGAGTCTGTGCTTGGCTTGCAGCAGCTGCTTGGATTCTTGGCTTGTCTAATTCAGGTGTGCATTCTGGTATGATGTCGCTTTTATCATTCCGCAGAAGCAACATTATTCAACACTTCTTCTGTGACGTCCCACCATTATTCCAGCTCTCCTGCTCTGACACTCAGGTCAATCAAATTACTACCTTTGTATTAGGTGGGGGTGTAATCATGGGCTCATTCTTGGTTACCTTAGTGTCTTATGTGTACATTGTCTTGGCTATCCTCAGGATACACACCAAGGAAGGGTGTCTCAAGGCATTCTCCACTTGTGCCTCTCACCTGACTGTAGTTAATATTTACTTTGGCACCATCATTTTCACTTACATACGTCCCAACTCCACTTACTCCCAGCAGCAGGATCGGGTATTGCCTGTGCTCTATGGAATCCTAACCCCTATGTTTAATCCACTCATCTACAGCTTGAGGAACAAGGATGTGCAAGGGGCTCTCAGGAAAGTCATGCTATGAACTCAATGGGTATCCAGTTAATTGGTTTTGCAAGATCCAGGCCCTTTTCCCTGGATAGGCTTTGTTCTTTATGCACAAGATAATTGCAAGTGCTGTTTCAGTTTGAATGGCAGTGAATGGATATTTATCAATATCTGCTAACATTAAACAATGTTATTTAATGGTTTGATTCACATGCTGTTATTCACAAAGCATAATTTTTATTGTTGGACCATGCAAAAGGATGCAGGCACTAGCAAACAGCCATTCTAAATTGTTCCTGTTACGTAAAACTCTCTGAGTGCTGCATAAACTTGATGTACCAATACAGGAAGGAATGAAATAGAGGAATTTCTGTGCAATTCAGTGTCACTTCGACTGACACAGTTTAAGGGCATGGACAGTGCTTTAATTTTTCCCCCAGTAATATTTACATGAAACCCCTCCCAGCAATTTGATGTGGTCAAGTTAGCTGGGGTGGGCAAGGGCCATTACTCCTTTCCTCTGTCCTCCATTTATCTTTGAAGCAGAACTAAGGAGCCAAACACTAGCTTGAGTAAGAACATTTTGTATCCACCAGCTCGTATACATAGGACTCTATCCATTGTTTCAGTCTAAGATTCAAAGTTATGGATTGCAATAAGAAAAGGGGAAGTACTCTACTTCAGATTCAAGCTGCAACTCTCACCAGCTCTGGAAGGTCAAGATGAGGGGACTTGATGGGTGATATGCATGACATACCAGCCCAGACTGGCAATAATGTATGATGAATTGGTTATCCTTTGAACCACCCATGGTGTTATCTGGCAGAAGTTTAGGGCAGCAAAATTGGTTTAACAGAATGATCCTCCAATGGGTTTCCCAGGAGACACAGTAACCAAATCTATCTATCTTTTTCTGCACAACAGTTGTGAACCTTTTCTGGCTCAATGCACTGAATTTTTCATTTTCCTTTTCTATTTTGGTGATTGAGATCTTGGCCAGCCAACTTTCCTGATCCCCATTTTGACAGCTCAAAGAAAATCTAGTGGGGGGGCTCACAATCTGATTTACAGGAGACATTGCTGTTGACAAGCAAAAGGATGATTCCTTTTAAACAGAGATTTAGGCAAGGATATTTTGCTTTTGCTTTTGGAAAGGAAATTATGCATTTCTGAATGGAAATAGTACCTTTCCAGTATTTGTTCAAAAGGGAGCCTTATTTTGACAGCTAAAGTGATAACTCCTGTAAATGGAGAGGCTCATTCTTTCCATATTTTTGATCACACAGAGTCTTTGGACCAACTGGAAAAGAAAGACCACTCTTAGGACAGTGAGGTCCAAGAGGAGAGGAGAGGGAAGAGGAGAGGAGAGTGGAGTACATCCTGTGTGAAGAAGGTGTGAATCCCAATATGCTATTCAAACTGAGATAAACAGAATAAAGATGGGTTAAATTTTCATTCAGGGTCAATTTAATACCTATCTCATTAATTATCCTCCCACATATTTTGGCCAAGCTGTAACAGTCCTTCATTGGGGTATGTGGTCTGCAGGATGAGGCACTGATCATCAAACAGCCTATGGCTCTGAGTTATGAATAACCAAAGGAAACATTCTGTGTAAAACAAATGTAATAGCTTCAAAATGTGCTGGAACTTTTCCTTAGTACAAAAAACAGAGTATAATAACTGATGGAGATATGTCCCTCTTTCCCTTCACAAACACTCCTCACACAGAGATCACTCCTGTCCTCTCTCATGCTGTCTATCTTTGTAACAGAACTAAGGAGCCAAAGGGTAGCTTGAGAAGGAACACTTTTGCATCCCCTAACCAGAATACACAGGACCCTATCCATTGATTCAATGTAAGACAAACTCAAATATATGGATTAGAATAGAAAAGTGGAATGCTCTACTTCAGATTCAAGATGTGACTTTCACCAGCTCTGGAAGGTCAAGACAAGGGGACTTGAAGGGTGATGTGCATGACACACCAGCCCAGACTGGCAATAAACTACAATGGATTGGTTATCCCTTGAACCACCCATGGTGATAACTCATAGAGGTTTAGGGCAACAAAACTGGTTCAACCCAATGGTCCTCCAGTGGGTTTCCCAGGGGACAAAGTGTCCAGATCAATCTATCTTTTGTGAATCTATTCTGCCTCAGTACACTGAGTTTTCCATTTCCCTTTTCTTTTTTCTGATTACAATCTCTGCTAACCACCTTTCCTGATCCCCATTTTGACAGCTCAAAGGGAAACTAGAGGAGGACTATTGCTGGTTAACAATCCCATTTACAGGCATTATTGATGCTGATACATCTCAAAGGGAAAACAAAGGTTTAGTCAAGAATTCTTTGCTTTTTTTTTGAAAAGGAATCTATGCAACTATGAATGCACACATTACCTGTCCAGTTTCTTTTCAAAAGGGAGCCTTATTTTGACAGCAGCCAAAAGGAGTAACTCATGTAAATGGAGAAGTTCATTCTTTTCCATATTTCTGATCATGCAGAGTCTTTTGAGCAAGTCGTAAAATAACCACATTCTTAGGAGAGTCAGGTTAAAGGGCAGGGCAGGGCAAAATGGATCATGGGTTCAGGGGATGTATATCCCAGCATCCTGCTCTCATTAGCAAACAGCACTCAGGCCACTGGTATGTCTCAAAAGCTTTACCTTTGACCTGACCTGCTTTACCTTCAGTTACACTGATCAGAGTTCAGCACCTGAGAATTGAAAGGAACTGAAAGGCAAGAAGCCAATTGATGTCACATGAGGAGTTTCTTTCATCAGACATTACAAAAATTGATGCAGGTTGAAGACATTGTTCAGTGGCGGCCACTTCTCCAAGAAATGCATAGTCTTCAGTGCACAATGGTCCCTTGGATGTGTTACTGTCACACCCCAGCAACCTCAATGTGCAATGTGCCTCCAGAGCCTTGGGCACCATGCATGAGTTCCAGATTTAGGCTTTCCTCTCCTCCATCAAGAGAATATGGTAATGAGCCCCATGCTCTTCTTTTCCTCACCCCAATTAGTTCTGTTGGTCTCAGTGGGTTTAAAATGAACAGCAAAGACATGTGGCAATTTATTTATTTATTTAGAATATTTATATGCTGTCTTTTTCGCAGTGCCTCAGGACGGCTTACATAAATAAATAAAAATAACAATATAAAACATGATAAAAATAAAATTCCAGACCCACCCTGGCTGCAGATTAAAACAAATATAGCTAATATTTAAAAGTTATTAAAATATTGTTGCAATAAAAAGACCTTAGCCTAGTGCCGAAAAACAAATGACTGCGCCAGGCAGACCTCTCTGGGGAACGCATTACATAGGTGGGGTACCACTGCAAAGAAAGCTCTCCTCTGGGTACTTTGCTTCCTAATATCTTTCATGGAGGGTTCACGGATGAGGGCCTCTACTGCCGATCTCAGGGGGCGGGAGGGCAAATACGGAAGAAGGTGTTCCCTTAGGTATCTGGGTTCCAAGCCATTAAGGGCTTTATAGGTAATAATCAGCACCTTGAATTGAACCCGGGTTTGATGGGAAGCTAGTGAAGCTGGTAGAGGACTGGGGTTATATGAGAATAGTGCCCAGCCGCCTTCAGCAACCTGGCTGCTCTATTTTGCACCATCTGAAGTATCCGGACCGTCTTCAAGGGCAGCCCCACATAGAGCATGTTACAGAAATTCAACTGGGAAGTAACCAATGCATGTGTCACTAATGCTAGGCAATCGTCCTCCAGGTAGGGATGCAGCTGATGGATTAACCGAAGCTGAAGGAAAGCACTCCTCGCCACCGCAGTCACCGAGCTTCCAGGTACAGCTCTGGGTCAAGGAGCACTCCCAAGCTGCAGACCCTGTCCTTTAGAGGGAGTGCAACCCCATTCAGGGCAAGGTGCAAGTCATATTAATGACCTATCATTTTAATCATATTAATTAATTATTAACAATATTAATGACCTAGCCTATCCAGAAGGATACCATGGTCTATGGTATCAAAAGCTGCTGAGAGGTCCAGGAGGACCAACAGGGATGCACTCCCCCAGTCTCTCCCTGCATAGGTCATCATACAGGGTGATCAAGGCAGATACAGTACCATACCCGGGTCTGAAGCCAGAATGAAATGGGTCCAGATAGTCAGTTTCATCCAAGAGTGCTTGGAGTAGTCCCGCCACCACCCGTTCCAACACCTTGCCCAAAAATGGGATGTTGGCCACTGTTCTATAATTGGTGGCCATCTCTGGATCCAGGGATGCCTTCTTTAGGACTGGCATGACTACCACCTCCTTTAAAGAAGCAGGCACCCAGTCGTCCCTCAGAGAGGAGTTAATCTCCAGGATCCAGGCACCAATCCCGTGTTTGGCTTTGGTAGCAGCCATGATGGGCAAGGGTCAAGTAAACAGGTGGTGGGATGTACTTGTCCAAGCACTTTGTCCACATCATCAGGCCACAATAACTGAAATTCATCCAGTAATATCTGACCCTAGAGGATCTGAATCACTTGTAGAGTCCAGCTTGTGACGAATCTGAGTGATTTTCTCCTTAAAGTGCTGGACAAAGTCATCACAGTGGGCCATCGAGGGTGGTACGGGAACTTTCTTAGGGCCAGGATGTACCAGCCCATGTTACCACTCGAAAGAGCTCCGCTGGACAGCACTGTGAGGAGGCAAAGAAAGTGGAGGAGAATTTCTTTTTCGCTGCCCTCACTGCCACAGCATAGCTCGATAATGAGCTTGTAAGCATGTTTGGGCAGATTTATCTCGTGATTTCCTCCACCTATGCTCTAGACGTCTCCCGTCCCGCTTTATCTCTCATAGTTCAGGTGTATACCATGGGGATGAACGGGCTCTGCCAGACGGGATAGGATGCTTAGGAGTGATCGTGTCAATTGCTCTGGCCATTTCCCCATTCCACAGTTCAACCAGAGCATCAACAGCAGCACCAGCTTTATCAACAGGAAACTCCCCCAGAGCCTTCAGGAATCGATCTGGATCCATCCAGCTCTGAGGGCGGACCAACACAATAGGGTCTGCAGTC